GTCCCTTCAAGCTTGTTGCCAAGAACACTGCTTTCTGCTCCTCTGTCCATCCATTCATTTCTGCCAGGAGCTCAAATTGTGCCCTGTATGCTTCCCATGGTACCTACCCATCGAATTCCTGTGGCTTCGTTCATACTAGATCATCCCTATTACTGACACTCATGTTTGGAATGTGTCTTCTGAAAGGACTGAAGATGTCTGCATTAGGGTTTAGCTGCAGGGTCTGGAAGGGGCTTCCCATTGTCTGAGGCTGATTATGTCCATGGCTAATATATCCTCCTTGTGTAAATCATCCTTTAATGTATTTAATTCACTTTGAAATGTACTAATCTTTTCCATTTGTGTATGCTGGCTTTCTCTCAACTGTTGGAGACTTTCCTCTTGTTTATTTTCTTTCTCCTCCAACCACTGCTGTAGTCTCTTTTCTTGTTTATCTTCTTTTTCCTCCAACAACTGCTGTAATCTCTCTTCTTGTTTCTTTTCTCATTCTTCTTGTTTTTTTCTTTCTCCTCCAACCACTGCTGCAGTCTCTTTTCTTGTTTATTTTCTTTCTCCTTCAACCACTGCTGTAGCCTCTCTTCTTGTTTCTTTTGCTGTTCTTGTATTGCTGCCATCAAATCTGCTAAGTTGTAGTTTGATTTGCCACCTCTGGTTTCCATTTTTTTTTCATCCTACTTCTGACACCAATTTGTTGCATATCTGCTTGTTTGTTAATTTCCCATAGAAATTCTTTCCGTTAACTTCAGCGATACAAGTCCTTTCTTAATTAAAACTACTTTTTTCTTTCTCGATACAACTTTGAAATACACAGAATTTCCACAGTCAATACGTATGCAATCTCGATAACAAAACATGCACTTTATATTACCGTCACTACCATTCGCTTAACTCAATTATCTGTCTATATATCTATCTATCTGTAATCATCTCTCTGCTTTATTTGCCGGGCTTATATACAAAAAAAGAGGGTGCCTAGAACAGACTAGAGTTGCCAGTAAAAGTCAAGATCCTTCGAGAATCTCATGACGTATTACCAGCGTCACGTGACTTCCGCTGTTGTAACACTATTAATCATAAAGCTGCTCAATGAACTGTGTGCTGTGCTAAATGTGGGTATCTAAACCCAATTTTTAGCATGATAACTACTCTGGCTTACTGTTGAGCTACCTATTTTGCTTACAAATAATGGTTTTCAACTAAGAACTTTTTTTGTAATTTATTCACATTCTAGAAACTCATCTTCATTACAAATTTAACTAGTACTGATGTAATGCAATTGTAATGTTCTCTTTGTATTTGAAATGACATTATCAGACAAGTAGTCACTATTACCAAACTTGTATTAGGATATCTATTGAAATCAGTGATTTTATTTCTGAAAATAGATAAGATCGTATACATCAGCAAGAATTACAAAGTTAAAAAATAAGTTCATTATTCAGAAAAATTGGAATTATGTTTTTTTTATTATTCACATTTAAGGACCCATCACAATAAAAGTAAAAATCAGAGAAGAATGATTTTTTGTCTTAGTTGTACTTTATACTTGTAGGGGTCATTGCTGTTATTCAACATAGATATCTGAAATTTTTAACAAAGTAATGTTGAAAATACTTTGCTCAAGTTTCTGGCTGGAAACATTTAGTTAAACCTTAAATCTCTTTCTGGAATATATTTGAAGATGTGGCTGAAACCACTGTTCTTGTATCCATGTTAGTTGTTGAATTATTCCTTGCAAAATTTTAACAAATACCTACTTGGTATAACATTGAACCCTGCCAAGTTATGAATTAGAACTATTTATAAACAAAATTGTTAATAAAGATTGTACAATTTTTTTTAAGAAAGCATATACAGTTTTCAATTATAATTTCCTAACTTGTTTTGTATCCTATTGGGAAAAGACTAAAATTAAAATATTCAAATCTGTATATAATATGGAATGAAAGCCTTGTCTTTTTTATTGTTATTATTATTAACAGTAGTTCACAGTAGATTCAAGTTTTTTATATTTTTCATGAATAGTGAAAACTTGCATAACAATGGATGTGGTACTGATAACATTTATACGTTGTTGGTATATGAAGGCAAATCACTTTTTGTGACCTGTAATTGGTTGCAAGTGGAGCAAAACTGGTGATATTTTCAATGAAGTAATGCTATGTTCAACAAAAGTATGGTAGTATGTTAAGTATAAACAATAATTGGTAACTTTTAAAGGAATACTTCCGGTATGTTGAGGTAAGTGAAAACTTTGTAATGTGTCGCCCATACACTAACTGACACTTTTTTGCTGTATTGATGATATTTAAGTTTATATTTTACAGTTTCATATATCTGCAAGAGGTTAGAGGTTTGAACTTTGATAATTTTAGGTGAATCGACTACAGAATCAAATGGCTTCCAAAGGAGGGTATGAATATTGTCTGCCAGTCAATGTGCATATACCAGTTGTGGATGTAAAGAACTAGAGCTCTTCAGTAAGTATGAATTAAAATTTTAATGGGTTTTTAGTAGCATGAAAACTTTGAATGCAAATAAGAAATTTGAATCATTAACAGCATACATTGTGTAGTGCTTGAAATTTTAATTGCTACACTATAAAGTTCATTGTTGTCTCGTACCACTGTCATACATAATGAATTAATTGCTACACTGTAGAGTTCATTGTTGTCTCGTACCACTGTCATACATAATGAATTAATTGCTACACTGTAGAGTTCATTGTTGTCTCGTACCACTGTCATACATATTGAATTAATTGCTACACTGTTGTCTTCATTGTTGTCTCGTACCACTGTCATACATATTGAATTA